GAGGGGGGCAATAACAAAGCCTCCCCGTGCCCAGGACTCGGCCGGGCCCTGTGTGATCCACTCGGAGCGCAAACAGCGACCCGGGCAGGGCTGCGGCACCGGGGCCGCACCTCGAATCGGCCACGGCAAGCGTTAAAGAATTCCCTAACCCCGGGACGCTGTGGAGAGCTCAGGGAGCGAAGAACGAAAATGAAAATGCAACAACATTGCCAGGACGGGCGGACGGCACGGCACTGCCGGATCCCGCGGCGCGGCTGCTGCGCGGATTTCCCACCACGGAGGGAACGGAAGGAACCTCTTTTTGTGGCTCCCCCCCCCCAATGTCTGTTCTCTTTTCTGCACGAAGCAGCAACTCCGTCCCTCTGCACTAGGCCACGCAGAACCTCCCAAAGCAGTTTAATAAAGGGTAAACCCGGAACTGAGATATTCTGATTGACATTGATTTTATACATAAAAAATATTATATAAAATATATGTATTTTTATATATATTAAAAAAAACCCAAACAAAAACAACTCTACATCTTTCAATATATAGGGAACAAATCAGACCCGAGGGAATGCAAAGTCAGCAACAGGAGCAGCTTTTCTCGCCAGGCTCTGTCTTTTTGTCTGGTTTAGACAGTGCTCGGTAAAACGGAACAACCAGAATGATCCCCGGGTGATACTGAGCACGGTGACAAACCGCAGTGATAAAATACGACTGTGCCACTCCTACCTCGGGGTTGTTTTACGGCGGTACATCCCCGGTTATCCCTCTGTGCCGGCCGCGGGGCTGACTGCTGGAATTAAATCCGCCGTCTCACACGAGTAAAGTTCTCAGTCCCAGGACTGACCTTGCTCTTCACGAACACTAAAAAAAATGCAGAGTTCAGGAGGAGTAGCAATAGGCTCTCGTGTAAAAATCGTGACACGAGGGCAATGCACGTGTTTCTGATTATTGTTTTTAAATTAATTCTATTTTTAAATAAAAAATGCAGACTCCAGGAGAAATAGTCATAAACTGTCATTTCTAAATAATGACACGGGGCAGTGCATGTATTCTTAAACAACCGGCGCTGCGCCGTTTTTAAACGATCGGTATGATTTCAGCAACCTTGTCTTTGAAACATCCTCCGGGGCCCGGTGCTCGGTTCCTCGGGAGGGAGAGGGCAGAGCGGGCGCCGTGGGTGCTGGCTTTGGGGGCGCTTTTGCTGGGATCGGGGCAGTGCCCGAGGAGAGGGGCCGGCACAGGTCCCTGCCCAGGTCCCCGCACAGGTC